AGAGGGAGAGAGAGAGAGAGTCCTAAGCAGGCTCCTCTCAGCTCAGAGCCTGATGTGGGGCTTGAACTCACAAACCCGTGAAATCATGACTTGAGTCGAAATCAAGAGTCGGACGCTTAACCAACTGAGGCACCCAGGCACCCTTTCTCTGCTTCCCTCTCATAAGGACCCGATAGTGAGAGTCTACCTGGGTAATCTGGAATAAATCTCCTATCTTGACATTCATTTTTTAAAAAGTTTTATTTATTTATTTTGAGAAAGAGACTGCGAGTGAGCAAGGGAGGGGCAGAGAAAGACGGAGAGAGAATCCCAAGCAGGCTGCACGATGTCAGCACAGAGCCCAACGCGGGGCTTGAACTCACAAACTGCGAGATCATGACCTGAGCTGAAATCCAAAACAGGACACTTAACTGACTGAGCCACCCAGGCATGTCCCCATCTTGACATTCTTAATCTAATCACACGTGTGAAGGCCAAGGTAGCATTCACAGATTCCAGGAACTCGGATGTGGCCCTCTCTGGGGGCCATTATTCAGCCTAACACCCTGCTGAATCGGTCAGTGCATATTTTTAAAAAACATTCTCTTATGTGGGTGCCTGGGGGGCTCAGTCGGTTAAGCATCTGACTTTTGATTTCGGCTCAGGTCATGATCTTAGTTTGTGGGTTTGAGCTCCACATCAGGCTCTGGGCTGATAATGTGGAGTCTGCTTGGGATTCTCTCTCTTTCCCTTCTCTCAAAATAAATAAACATGAAAAAAAATTTTAAACATTCTCTTTTGTAACCACAGGATGGTCCCATCATCAGGAAGTGAGTGTTGGCACTATTAGTACGGTTATCTCATTCACGGACTGTACTATCCCAGCGATATCCTTTATAACATACAAAAATGTGTTTTTACAAACCTTATGCCAATTTTCCTAATAATGTCCTTGAGAGCAAAAAAGGTTTGGTTTTTTTTAAGGACTTTATTTTGAAGTAACCTCCGTACCCATTGTGGGACTTGAACTCACAACCCTGAGATGACGAGTCATACACTCCAGGGGCACCTGGGTGGCTCAGTCGGTTAAGCATCCAACTCTTGATTTCCGCTCAGGTCATGAGCTCACAGTTTGGGGGTTCGAGCCCCTCTTTGGGGTCTGTGCTGACAGCATGGATCCTGCTTGGGATTCTCTCCGCCCATCCCACCCCCTCCAGCCTCTCTCCCATTCTCACTCTCAGTAAATACATAAACATTAAAAAAAACCTCACACACTCCACCAACTGAGCCAGCCAGGCACCTCGCAAAAGTTTTTTAGTTTACATACACAAGGGTGCACACACGCGCGCACACACACCCCTGCGCACACACGCCCCTGCACACACATTTCCCCAGCCCATATCTAGCACACTTTACTCTCCGTCTGTCTGGAACTATTCTTTCTTTATCTCTGGTGACCTTGAGACTTTTGAAGATTACAGACCAGTTGTTTTGTCTCAACTCAGGCGTGTTTCCTTGTGATTAGATTCAAGTTACGCGTTTTTGGCAGGAGTATCTCCGAAGGGTGCTCCTCCCTCCCCCGGCCCCCACCCTCTTTTTCGAAGTAAACAGTGTAGAAGCGGAGACACCCAAAACAATGTGCCCAGGGCCTCAGCATGCAGTCTGGCAGCTTTCTGCAGGCGAACGCCAGGTACAAGTGGCACCTGGAAGTCCTCTCGTGTCCCTCCCCCCACCCCCAAATGGGAGCATTATTGTGGCGTCCGACAGCCTGGAGCTGTTTCCCTTGTTCCTGCCTGTGGTACAAACAGACCCAGACGTGCGTGGGCTTTCGTGTCCGTCTTCTGCTCAAGGCCATGACGGTGGAGTTTGCCCACATTCAGCGAGTGGCCAGGAAGGGGCTTCTCAGAGGCTCCGTAAACCCTCGGCGAGTTGGACGGGTGTGAGTTGTGCGCTTTTCTGTACGTGGGCCACACATCCGTGTTTACATTCGGGTTTTATGCTGGAGGAAGGAAGGAAAGTCAGACGCAGCCGTTAAGGATGCGGAGGGTGGAGGCGGATTGTGCGAGGCTGCATCTGAGCTCCGAGGCTGGTGAGCTCAAGTCGGTCGCCTGGCTGTGCCTTGGTTTCCCCGTATGTGACGGGGTTTTCCTCCCCCGTAAAATGTTATCGTGGGGCCTGCCTCGCAGAGTTAAGAAGCTTAAGTGAGTTCATTTGGAAGTGTTTGGGACAGGACCTGGCACGGAGGGAGAGGACATAAATCGAGGAGCCCTGAAGTCACGTTCTGGAATGCGCGGTCGATGGGGATGCCGGGCGCCTGCACGGGTCCGGAGCGTCGCCGGGAGAGCAGCAGGGACAGACCCAGCCCCACGTTGGCGCCTTTTCCGGCCCCACTCTCGTGCCGCGTGCCAGCTTTGCTGTGGCAGACGAGAGGGTTCCCAAATCTTTTTTTTTTTTTTAATATTTTTATTTATTTCCAGGAGAGAGAGAGAGAGAGACAGCGTGAGCAGGGGAGGGTCAGAGAGAGGGGGAGACACAGACTCTGAAACAGGCTCCAGGCTCTGAGCCGGCAGTCAGCACAGAGCCCGACGCGGGGCTCGAACCCACGAACCGCGAGATCATGACCTAAGCGAAAGTCGGACGCTTAACCGACTAAGCCACCCAGGCGCCCCAAGAGGGTTCCCAAATCTTGATAAAATTCTGAACAAAACCAACCACGGCCTCCCCTGGGGTTTCATCGTGGCCGCCTTCCCGGAAAACCCGCCGCATATCAAATCCAAACACAAAACACTTGTGTTTATGCATAAACCAGTGAAGGTTGTCTCAGACCATTACAAACCATTTTGTCACGGACAAGAATGTCCACTGGGACGTTTAGGAGCCACACGGCTGGGGGCGGTTCTTCAGGGCGCAGAAGGGCATCGTCATTGGGGTCCCTACCTGCCCTGTGGTATCCAGAGACACCCCACGAGTGGCCCCGGGACCTCCGTCTTTATGCCAGCCGCCCCTGGGAGTTCCTGCGATGTGCTCTAGGGGGCAGCACTGTCCACTCACCACGACCGAAATTTCTGGAAGCTCTGTGCTGACAGGTGGGGACAGTCCATCCTCTTTGACGATTTCTGCATTTGTGACCTCGCCTACTCGCTAAATTTATCCATAACCCCCCAGACCAGCACTCCTGGTGCTTTTGTGATCGGTGCGTCTTTCACATGGGAGTGGAGAGTTGGGAGTTGCCGGTGCGCACACGCGGCTGGGGTTCCATGAAGCAGTGCATTGCCTTCTCGTCTCAGCTCAGGTCATAAACCAGTCCTTGTCGCCGGCCCCGAGTGCCACGGCTTTCACGTTCCTGTGCTCTGCTGGATGATGGCTTCACTGTGTAAAATGACCCCCACGCATCAGGCTTCTTGCTGGTAGATGTCCCCAAGTGCAAGAAGGCTGTTGTGTGTCCCACAGAGAAAACACATATATTAGATAAGCTTCCTTCCGGCTCCCGTTAGACAACTGTTGGCCGTGAACTTGATGTGGACGAAGCAACACTATATATTAGAAAAGGGATATTTGAATAGAAAGATGCATAAAATGAGGTGATGTAAGGGCACCTGATGGCGCAGTCAGTTAAGCTTTAGACTTTGGCTCAGGTCATGATTTCGTGGTCTGTGAGTTCGAGCCCCGCATCAGGCTCTGTGCTGACAGCTCACAGCCTGGAGCCTGCTTCAGATTCTGTGTCTCCCTCTCTCTTTGCCCCTCCTCTGCTTGCACTCCATCTCCCCCTTCTTTCTCTCTCAAAAATAAACAAACATTAAAAAAATTAAAACAAGGTGATGTATTGATCAGTTGATGAAAACGTGACCAGAGGTCACAAGAACAAAACCCTGTATTTCCCCAGAAGCACATTTGATTGCATTTGCTAATTCATGTTCTCAGTGGCTGCCGAGAACATGACTAGCACAAATGAGAGGAGAGCCGACTGCACTTTTTATGTTTTTGCCTTTTTTTTTTTAATGTTTTATTTATTTCTAGGAGAGAGAGAGAGAGAGACAGCGTGAGCAGGGGAGGGTCAGAGAGAGAGAGAGGGAGTCGCAGACTGAAACAGGCTCCAGGCTCTGAGCAGGCAGTCAGCACAGAGCCCGACGCGGGGCTCGAACCCACGAACTGCGAGATCATGACCTAAGCGAAAGTCAGACGCTTAACCGACTAAGCCATCCAGGCGCCCCTGTTTTTGCCTTTAAAAAAAAATGTTTATTTTGAGAGAGAGAGAGAGCGAGAGAGACAGAGGGGCAGAGAGAGGGAGAGAGAATCTCAAGCAGGCTCTGTGCTGTCAGTGCAGAGCCCGACATGGGGCTTGAACCCATGAACTGCGAGATGATGACCTGAGTGGAAGTCAGACACTTAACTGACTGAGCCACCCAGGCGCCCGCCCTTTTTAAAATGTAGAGAGTGGTATGCCGGATTTTGTACCTTGCATTTTTCACTCAGTATTTTAGAGATTTGTTCATATTGCCAAAGGCTTTCTTCATTTCCCCAAGTCCTTTTAAATTTTACATTCATTGCTTTATGAATCGGATGACATGAACAGACACCAAATGGTGCTGAAACAAACCTCGAATACAAAATCCAGAGTTCATTTATCCGTTCGTACGTTTTAAGAGCTGCCCAGTGTCACAGATGGATTTTAAGCTGAGGGGTTGTGGTGTAATTTGACATAGGGTTTTAAAGCTGGGTTGTTTTTTTTTTTTTTTTAATGTCTATTTTGAGAGTGAGAGAGAGTGCACGTGCATGCGAGCAGGGGAGGGGCAGAGACACAGAGAGGGAGAGAATCCCAAGCAGGCTCCATGCAGTCAGTGCAGAGCCGGACTCGGGGCTTGATCTTGTGAATGGGGATATCGTGACCTGAGCCGAAATCAAGAGTCAGAGGCTTACTGACCGAGCCGCCCAGGCGCCGCATTAAAGCTGGATCTAAGGGGCTGGATGAGAGGCGCATCAGAGTCTGGGCTGCACGCGATTTTTCTCTCTCCGCCCCTCAGCCATGCTGCGGATGGTCTCCGCGGTTCTCCAGTTCGGCAACGTCGTCCTGAGGCGGGAACGGAACAACGATCAGGCCTCCATGCCTGACAACACAGGTAACCACGCCTGACCCTGCCGCCCGCGCCCCTGCCTAGCCCCCCACCCCCGCAGCGCTGAGCGGCCCCCTGCCCCCCGCTTGCCGCCAGAGCGCGCCTCCAAGCCGTGCGGGTCCCTTACCAAAATATCCGCTTTGGCTCTCTTCCTCCTTGTAAAAGGTGCGACCTCTGCTGAAGGTTTGAACACCACCAGGGAGCCTAAGCCCCTCCCCCCGCCCCGCCCCCATCCTGGCTCCTCTGAGAAAATTGCCATTAGCGTTGGGCTCATCTCCTCTTGGCCTCTGTGCTTCGCGTATATGCTTTATTTTTTTTTAAGTTTTATTTATTTCTGAGAGAGAGACTGCGTGAGCAGGGGTGGGCCAGAGAGAGGGAGATACAGAATCTGAAGCAGGCTCCAGGCTCTGAACTGGCTGTCAGCACAGAGCCCATCGTGGGGCTCAAACCCACGAACCGCAAGATCATGACCTGAGCTGAAGTTGGATGCTTAACCAACTGAGCCACCCAGGCGCCCCTATTTTTTCCTTTTCAAAAGCAGAATTATAATTGATATCCCTTTTTTTATCAAAAGGGAAATATCTCTGCTTCTTTTTTAAAAAAATTTTTAATGTTTTATTTATTTTTGAGAGGTAGAGACAGCATGAGCAGGGGAGGGTCAGAAAGAGAGGGAGACACAGAATCTGAAACAGGCTCCAGGCTCTGAGCTGGCTGTTAGCACAGAGTCTGATGTGGGGCTCAAACCCACGAACCGTGAGATCATGACCTGAGCCGAAGTCGGATGCTTAACCGACTGAGCCACCCAGGTGCCCCTAAATGTTTTATTTAATTTTGATAGAGAGAGACAGAATATGAGTGGGGGAGGAGCAGAGAGAGAGGGAGATACAGAATCTGAAGCAGGCCCCAGGCTCTGAGCCATTAGCACAAAGCCCTGCCCGGGGCTCGAACCCATAAACCGCGAGATCATCACCTGAACCGAAGTCAGACACTTAACTGACTGAGCCACCCAGGCGCCCCCCCTCCTTGTTTCTTATCTTTGAGAGACAGAGGGAGAGTAGTGAGAGAGGGGGCAGAGAGAGAGGAAAGTGAGAATCCCATGAGGGGCAGAGAGAGAGAGAGAGAGAGAGAGAGTGTAGAGCTTGATGCTGGGCTCGAACTCACGAACCGTG